GGAAACCAAGATGCACCCTGAAGCTGATCAAACAACTCATCAATCATCGGTAACGGATAATGGTTCTTGTGACATCCCTGTTTTTCACGGCCAGAAAAGACCGATTTGTTTATGCTTGTTTAAAAATTAGAGTAATCGTTTACAGAAAACAGTTTCGGAATTTGTTCCCAAAACAAAATATGATAAGAATTTATCAAAGCATTTCTTTAAAGAAATGTATTTCATTATATAACAGAATCTCACGATGTCATGTTCCGATACAGACCAAAAGCATAAACAATATAAAATAAACCTTACAACAGTTATTTATAACTACTGATCTATAATCCAAAATCTCTCATCAAGTCCACTAACTTATACCCTTGTGCCATTACCTGTAATGCAAAGAAAACTGAGTGGGTCAGACTTAGGAGCCTGGTGAGCATATATGGTTTTCAACCCACAATAATATAATTATTATATTTAATCATCAAACAATCAACCCAATTACCCATCCCCAATATCTTCCTTACTCTTAAGGGTCTACCCTAAGAGTCATCTATTTGTTCACTCCGTATTAGGCACTAAGACAATAGCTGCCCAGATTCTTTATTAGGCACTAAGACAATAGCTGCCAGGATTCTTTATTTGGCACTAAGACAATAGCTGCCAGGATTCTTTATTTGGCACTAAGATCATAGCCGCTGGGATTCTATATTTGGCACTAAGACAATAGCTGCCAAGGTTCTTTCGTAAAGCACTAATTCCATAGCTGCTATGGTTCATTCATCCGATACTAAATTCATAGCTACCAGTGTAGGTACTAAGTCTATAGCTATCATCGTCTATCTAACAGTACTAAATCCATAACTACCAAGATTCATCTATACAATACTAAATCCATAGCTACTGAGGTTTATTTTTACAGTACTAAATCTATAGCTAACGAGGTTTATCTTTACAGTACTAAATCCATAGCTAATGAGGTTTATCTTTACAGTACTAAATCCATAGCTACTGAGGTTTATCTTTCATCTCATCCTTCATCACACACCAACTATTTCGTCTACCCATGTTCTACCTAACATATTGGCAGATATAAAATACATATACAGTTTAACTCACTTTAAAACTATATAAAACATCCATTCCACACTCATCTCAAATACACAACAATATATAAATACATAGCACATATTTCACAACAAATACTTCATATTTATGTGTTAGAAGAAAGTGACTACACACTCACACAAAACATATACTTAATACATTCAAATAATACGTGTATTAAAATCGTGTTATGAAAGGGACTATACACTCACTTGATTAGATGATGCTCGGACAACACTACGACATGTAAAAGTAGTATTTTTCAGTAGATCCGAAAGATCTTCATACACCGGGCTTCTCGCAGGCAGAGCTTCGGCTCGGAAACTCTTTTCTTCTAGGGATCTTCGGGCTTCGGGACTTGCTTCGGGTCTCGGGATGATACCGGGGCTTTGGGGGGTTAAAATAGGGCTTAGAGAGAGTATCGGGAGTGGGAGACATGAGAAGGAGCAACCAAAATCGGCTGACCCTCGATTTCTATTTATAGGGTGAATTTTTTGGGTTCACCTCGTGAGTTTCTAATATTCACCTCGTGAGCTACATATGCTTACCTCGAGAGCTCTATACGTCATTGCGTTTGTCATGGCCACTTGCCTTGGAAGACGTCCATCATATGTTCACCTCGTGAGCCACTAATGCTAACCTCGTGAGCTAGGCTCACCTCGTGAACTACATATGTTCACCTTCTGAGCTCTAACACAACCTTAGGGTTCATGCCCCGAACTTCAGAAATTCATAACTTTCACATACAAGCTCCGTTTTTGGCGTTCTTTATATACATGCTTAGGTGAGATTATGCTCTACATGTCTCGCTTAGACTCCGTTGGCTAATTTTGACTTTATTTTTAATATATTATAAATATATTATTCTTAGTAGGCCAGGACAAGAAAACTCCGTTATAAAATCATTACTTCTTCATCCGACTTACGTTTTCATATTTCTTTTTATTGTTGGACTACTATCGACGAGATCTTCAATTATCGTTTAGATTGTTTCGGCTAAATATCGCTCGATCTCATATTCAAACTTCGGGTTGTACACTTCTAAGCCGAAACTTCGAAAAATCATAACTTCCTCATACGAAGTCAGATTTGGGTGTTCTTTTCATACACGCTCTTGGTTTAATGTATTATACAACTTTAAATTAGATTTCTATGGCCAAATATCTCTCTAACGTAAATTCACTATTTACGTCGCGTTGTGTCGTGTCGGTTCTGTCGCGAAACTTCGACATGTCGTAACTTCTTCGTTATAACTCGGATTTCGGCGTTCTTTATATGCACGGAAACCTTGTGAAATATACTACAACTTGGTTATGATTATTCATTCTAAACACTCTTCTATCAAAAAGTAATTTTTGACGCTTATCGTCTCTAAATTGACTAGCCCGGATCTACGGGCGTTACAATTATCTCCCCCTTAGGATGATTACGTCCCGGAATCATCAACGAAATAAGGCTTGTATAATGGTTCCATACATTATCTTTTCATCCTAGGTATTAATCGGAACCTCTATGTTTCTTCGAATGAGTATCTAACTCTTGGACTTCTTGACCGTAGGCGATGCTCAATCTTGCATTCGCTCTTCGTACTATGTTGGACTTTCAATCGCATCCTATGAGTTACAAAATAAATCCTTATTGAGCACTCCTTCTTCTTCTTAGGATAATTACTTTCCCTTGTCTATTGTAACAGACCGATGGGTCATGTTCTAATGACCTCTCATCGTATGATGCAACGCTTAGACTCAAGTCTCATAGAGTCAAATTTCGGAATGGAATATACATTCCTTCATATTCTAATGCGATATAATCACATTTTTACATGTATTATTTCTAGATACAAGCTTCCTTAACAACGAGCACGATGTTATCGATTACATTGATTTCAACCTTCTGACTTGAGTCAAATGCTACCTTGAACTTGGTTCTATGAACCACGTAACAAACTCATCGTAGTCGGACTCAATTTGATATGACCGCTAGGGTCAGAATATCAATCATCTTTTTAGTCATTACCAAAACAATGGTAACGACATACTAGAATAAAAACGAACTCAATTACAAGTTTCTTGGTAACCTTGTGACTTTCCCTGATCCAAGCGTGAGTCCTGTGCTTCCAGTAGTATAGATCTATACTACTATTCACACCTACTGATACTCATCCCAAGTATTTTCTCGCAGTCCCTAAGTCCTAAAATCAAAAAACAATTTAACACATAATAATGTGTCCAAATAATCATAAACAATTTCCTAGAATCCACTAGGAATTCTTCATTGCGTATCTTCAATCATCAATTCTACTTCAACTCGATTGGTGATGGAAATGCCAGGTGATGAGACAACCTCAAGAATTACACCAATCTCTCCATTATCCTGCCAATCGAAGGTGTACTTCAAACGTACCGTACTCCTCTAAACGTACTGTTATTTCATAAGACATACTCTAAAGGCAAGATACAAGTCTTACGATATCTTCTGATAGGTGTCATCCACTATCATAAACCTTCTACATTTCCTCCATTTACTTAATTTCTCTACAAGTCTTCACCATGACCCTTTATGCACCCAAGCAGACATTCGGTGCACCAAGCGAGAATTTAAGATAAGAAAGCTTTAATTACGATAGACGTATAAATCTCCTTATCACCCCGAAATGTTTACATGCTAGTTCTAATATCGTAGTCGTACGCTTAGAATCCTAAACACATAATGTTTCCAGACCTCGTCGACAATAGAACATAGATCTGAACAAATAATATCATATATGGCAAACATATAACATTTAGGGCATAAAAGCATTTTAGGAAACTTTCCAAAAATATACTAGTGCTAATGTCTTAGAATTTGGTAGACACTCATCTCACAATCATTACTTAGTATTCTAAGTTTAAGTCTAGAAATCTCCTACAAATTCCTAGTTCGCTTAAACAAATTCTCTGATGCCAACTGTGACATCCCCATTTTTCACGGCCACAAAATACCGATTTGTTTATGCTTGTTTAAAAATCAGAGTAATCGTTTACAGAAAACAATTACAGAATTTGTCCCAAAACAAAATATGATAAGAATTTATCAAAGCATTTCTTTAAAGAGATGTATTTTCATTATAAAACAAAATCTCGGGAGGTCATGTTCCGATACAGAACAAGAGCATAAACAATATAAAATAGACCTTACAACAGTTATTTATAACTGCTGATCTACAATCCAAAATCTATCATCAAGTCCACCAACTTATACCCTTGTGCCACTACCTGTAATGCAAAGAAAACTGAGTGGGTCAGGCTTGGGAGTCTGGTGAGCATATAGGGTTTTCAACCCACAATAATATAATTGTTATATTTAATCATCAAACAATCAACCCAATTACCCATCCCCATTATCTTCCTTACTCTTAAGGGTCTAACCTAAGAGTCATATATTCGTTAACTCCGTATTAGGCACTAAGACAATAGCTGCCCAGATTCTTTATTAGGCACTAAGACAATAGCTGCCAGGATTCTTAATTTGAGACTAAGACAATACCTGCCAGGATTCTTTATTTGGCACTAAGACAATAGCTGCCAAGGTTCTTTCATAAAGCACTAATTCCATAGCTACTATGGTTCATTCATCGGGTACTAAATCCATAGCTACCAGTGTAGGTACTAAGTCCGTGGCTATCATCGTCTATCTAACAGTACTAAATCCATAACTACCAAGGTTCATCTATACAGTACTAAATCCATAGCTACCGAGGTTTATTTTTACAGTACTAAATCCATAGCTACCGAGGTTTATCTTTACAGTACTAAATCCATAGCTACCGAGGTTTATCTTTACAGTAGTCAATCCATAGTTACCGAGGTTTATCTTTCGTCTCATCC